AAGTGAGGATGAATAGAGTTTTGAAGAAAGGTCAACATTTCTCAAAGCACATTGGGAACTACTACAATACTAAATTCAGAATGTGAGAGTGACAATACACAATGCCTATGGAAACGTCATTAACGTGGTTTCATGATAAATAAATAAAGATATTGTCAGGTACCAATATTGATACCTGACAACATCTTTATTTATTTATCATAATAAAATGGTATCTACTTCACCAACAATCCAATTAACGTGGTTTCACTTTAGCATGACAACCTCTTAAATAGCCAGACATTACAACTGCACCCACATATGTCTTTGTAACTAGTTTCTCGCCTATATCAAAATCATTCGCGATGTCTAACGATGCTGACGTCTGTAAAGCTCATGAACCTTTCTTGAACTTCATATTCGGATTTGTCCACATAACGCGAAATGATAAAGAACTGCGATTTATTATGTCAGAACTCTCATCGAGTTCAAGTTTACTGGTAATTGTATGTAACATAAAATCTGTTTTTTAAGAGATATAAAGCACTTTTGGTCCAGATATTTCAAAAAATCTGGAAGAAAAAAAGCAGGTCCACGAAACATTCGTGTGGAAGCAGAAAAACTAATAAAGATCATACGAAAAGATTCTAACTACATTCCTTGGCGCAAATGTACGCAATGATGGGAACAACTCATTGCTTTGTGATTCCTGGTAAGGTCATAAAAAAGGTTAATGTTTACTAACAAGAATGTTATGCTTAAAAATTGCCACCGAAGACAGAAAATATTGGCAATCTCCAGTTGGGTACTTATTTAGGCAATTTAAGCAAAATAAAGTTAAATGTTTCATTTTCTTTTAAATGAAGACTTACAACCAAACAAACCCCATAATTAGTGATTTTGTAATTCACTAAGAAATTGAACGGTTGTATATTAGATTTATATTGTCAAAAACAGTAAAAACTCTGTGACTTATTGGGAAGAAGATCGAGTATAATGAATGGTAAATGAGAGAGTTCCATCTTCGCTGACAAGTTGGCACTAGCGTTCCGCTGCGCCTCCAGGTTGGCGCGGCGCGCGGGCGCGGGCGGGCGATGCAGGCGCGCTCTGCCGCCTGCGAGCGCAAGCGGCGCGTCGAGCTCGAGCTGCAGCGCGCGCGCGCGGTGCGGCGGGCGGCGGC